AAATCTTAAATTAAAACTTGAAACCCGAATATTACACTAGCTCAACCAGAACTCGGCTTGGTTTTCAAGAACGAGTATGGAGTTAAAAAGTTCTTCAGACTGATTGAGGCCTTCAAGTATTCAACATATACACTTGAATGGTTTCAGAAGGTCATTCGAGAAAGATTGGGCAGAGCGCATGTACCTATGAAGGAAGGACAAGAACTGATCCATGGCATCTCCACAGTCATCCGCTTTAGAGGATTGATGATGCGCTTTTGGAAAATCTCAAGTAGAAACCATGAGTAATTTATTTTATTATGTACTTTCATTTCTTGTAAGAAATCATCCAACTTTTAGACCAATGAAAATATTTGGTGAAAGTATGTTTTTCTAGACAAGTCTCTGCTTTTCATAATTCTTTCATTGTTCTTAGATTAGTCATTATTTGTTTTTCATTACTTAGGGGGAGATTGTTAGACCCCATCATTCTTATTGTAAAAGTAATGAAAAACATATAAGTGTGAAAGTGCAAAAGGTCGATGGAAGACTTGCAAGGAAAAATCCTAAGTATTCAATATAACCAGAGATGCGATGAAGGTTCATAGGTGCAATGAACAACACATATCCATAACCCCTCTGGTCACCAACACTTGGAGATTCCAACAACAGTTCAACCAGAGATGTTCATTTAAGAAGACCCAAAAACTCATGGTTGAACACGCCTTCAAGAAGACAGCTGGAGATGACAAATCGACAGCTGGATTCTCATTGCCTTATTTAGTTTAATTTTGTTTCCATATTTCTAGATTGCTTTCTTTCCTTGAAAGATTTGTGATATATGTCTCATAGATAACAATCTCCTTATTTAGATTACTAGTTTAAATAGGACTTATATTTCTTGTAATCGTTTACGCTTTCCATTCCATTAATTCAATAATAGTGAATCCTTTGACACTCCAATTATTCTTTGCATATTCTTGAGTTGTTCTTCACTATTTTCCATCCACACGATATATTTAGGTTATTCATAACTTGAATATTCGTGATATTGAGAGATCATGGATCAACACCTAGGGATAAATTGCTATTGGCTGTAAGTGGGTTTTCAGGAACAAATAGGATGAGGATGGCATCATTGTAAGGAACAAAGCCAGGCTTGTAGCAAAAGGCTATTGCAAAGAAGAAGGCATAGACTAAGCTATACGTTTATTCCTAGCCTTCTCTGCACATAAAGGATTCTGAGTCTATCAAATGGATGTCAAGTCAGCCTTTTTGAACGGTAAGCTGAAGGAGGAGGTCTACGTTCAACAACCTCCGGGGTTTGAAAGTTCCACACATCCAGAGTATGTCTACTTCTTAGACAAAGCTCTGTATGGACTTAAACAAGCTCCACGAGCCTGGTAGGAACGTCTTTCGTCTTTTCTTTTATCAAATGGTTTTGAAAAAGGTAAAATCGACATCACTTTGTTTATTAAGAGGCATAAATGTGAGATGCTCCTAGTCCGGATTTATGTGGACGACATTATTTTTGGTTCAACGAACCAAAGGCACTGTGATAAGTTCTCTGCATTGATGAAGAGCGAGTTTGAAATGAGCATGATGGAAGAATTAACATTCTTCCTCGGCTTGCAAGTAAAACAGAGAGAGGATGGTATCTTTTAGCCAAGCTAAATATATCTCTGACATATTAAAGAAATACCAACTTCACAACTCTTCAATCATGAGAACACCAATCGCAACAGGGACTAAGCTTGATGCAGATCCATCTGGAGAACCGGTGGATGTCAAGACTTACCATGGAATGATTGGATCACTGATGTATCTCATGGCTAGTCGACCAGACATTATGTTTACTACTTATCTCTGTGCTAGATATCAAGCAAATCCTAAGGAAACTCATTTATCTGCTGTAAAAAGAATATTTCGATACCTAAAAGGGACTCAATTTTTGGGTCTCTAGTATCCTAAGTATTCTGGCTTTGATCATATCATGTATACAGACTCTGATCATGCAGGATGCAAACTTGATCGAAAGAGTACATCAGGGAGTTGTCAATTGCATGGTGACAAGCTCATCAGCTGGACATCTAAGAAGCAAAACTGCGTATCTACCTCGACTGCTGAAACATGGTATGTAGCCGCAGCAAGCTGCTGTTCCCAAGTGATTTGGGTGAAGACTCAACTGAAAGACTATGGCATTGAGTTTGACAAGATTCCAATTATGTGTGACTCTGAAAGCACGATAGCGATCACGGCCAATCCAGTACAGCAGTCAAAAACAAAGCACATCGATGTACGTTATCATTTCATCAAAGACCATGTGGAGAAAGGTACGATTAAAATGTTTTTCGTGAGTACAGATCATCAATTTACTAAGTCTCTTGATGAAAAGAGATTCAATTTTTTAGTTAGCAAGTTGGGTATGCTTAATCTTCATTAGCTAAGATAGAGCCTCCATATGTACTATATAGAGCTTCTGCATCCTTTTTGAGCATATTTCTGTTTTTTTCTAAGTTTTTGTCCATGAGACAGAGGCTCTGCATAGTACATGCAGAGCCTCTTACTTGAGTCTCAAAATTTGTTTGTCATATAGAGCCTGTGTATAGTATATACAGAGTCTATGTACCTTATTCACCATGATTGTGCATTTCTTATGATTTCATGATCCAAGCATAGTTCAAGGGGGGAGAAAGCTCAGAAAAGCTTAAGTCAAGGGTTAGCTTCAGATCATTCACCATACAGAGCCTTTGTATGTACTATATAGAGCCTCTGTCTCTAAAAACCTTCATGATTATAAGACAGAGCCTCTGTATGTATTATACAGAGCTTTTGTCTCTAAACATGTCTCATTTAAAAGACAGAGGGTATGAATAGTCCAACCATGAGCCTCTGATGAGTTCGTAAGGTATGTAATCTTTCACTCAACTGTACTCTGGTTCCTTTTTCTAATCCAAATGAACAACCTTAGTGCACAACAACTCTGTATCCAAATACAGAGCTTCTGTCTCAAAATGGTTGTTATTTTTTACATGACCCAGAGTATGAACTTTCTTCTTTTTCTCTAAGTATCTCAAAAATATTATTTTTAAATGGAAGGCGTAAAGTTCTTTATTTTAATATTTTAAAAAAACTGTCATTTACAAAAGCGTCACCACCTGTATCTTTAATTTTTCAAATATGGGAGGCGCCATTTACTGCCTGTCAGGCCACGTGGCATCTCCCCACAGGCAGGTGAATTAACCGCTTCAGTTTTTTACGCTTCGAGAGCGCATTACACTTGAGGGCCTATAAAGTTTTTACTATTTAAACGAGTTATTTTCCCCTAAATTATCTTTTACGCCTTCAAAAGTTCTTCAGCCATTTTATTGTCTTCAAGCTCTCAATGAACAACCGCCATTGTCGAACACCAAGCTTTCTGAAACTTCAATCTGTGGTCGCGTCAATCAAGATTTCTTCCAAGCAAGTTCTACAAAACCCTTCTCCAAATCTTTAATAGAAGAATCAAACACAAATTCTTCAAAACCCTAATCTTTAAAAACCCTCATCTCTTTCAATCAAACCTGCAAAAATGTCTTCTTCAGACTTCGCCAACTCCTAAACTCAAACCACTACCCTCAAAATAGTCGAAGAAACTAGCCAAAACGTTGTTCCCCTTCCCTTGAAGTCAAACAATCATTCCCTTCATCTCACCTTGGACGGTTTCGACCACAAGGTTCGCCCCATTGTTGATGTTCTTCAACATCATTTCTTGAACCCTGCCCTCAAAAATGTCGACGACATTGTCCCTGAATGCTTCATTCAGGAGTTGTGGCAAACATGTGCCGTCACATAATCCCAATGCAGGATTATTGGAGAGTTCTATGTGCCCTCCTCTAAGGAGTATGTATCTGTGAGAATTTCAAGGTCACTATTCTCACGCGTTCTTCAAATACCAACCAAGACTGACCTTGATTTGAGCGAGTACGCCCCTCTCCCATCTGGGGATGAACTGGTGGCATTCTTGAAGATGTCGGGGTACAACCAGGCTATTAAGTACCCATCACAGTATCGAAGACAGTATCTGCCACCAATTTGGAACACAATGTTCACATTGGTCAACCGTTCACTGACAGGGAAGATTGAAAGCCTCGATATGTGTTCAACCAACATGTTGCAAATCATGTACAGGATCTTCTTTGATCTATCTTTGGATTACTCCTTGATCTTGTACACGGAGTTTAAGGCTGCAGTCGAAAAGAAATGTCAGGAGGCCGCGAAAGGAAAGGACCTGCCAGCTCTACTGTTTCCCTGTTTCTGGGTCTTCTTCTAAGACCTAGTATTGACAAGCACAATCTCAATGTGGCAAATCTGTATATGCACAAGGTCAATATACTTTCAACGTACAAACCAACCATGCACAAGGAAGGGTATACTATAGAGAGGCCAATCCCAATGAAGCTACAGGCATACATGAAGACAAAGGAGATAAGGAAGGGATACAGACGTGTACGCGAGGCACTAGAACCAATGCCTCGAACCCTGGCACGCATAGGTTTAAACCAAGAGGGAGAGGAAGCAGAGGAGGCTCAAAGGCCTCAGGCAGAGGATGAGGGAGTAAGGCAGGAGAGGGAGAGGGAGAAAAAGAGGAAGAGGGTGGAATTAAAGAGGAAGAGGGAAGAAAGAGAGAAGATGAGAAAGGCAGAGGAGAAGAGAGCAAAAAGAGAGAGGCTTGAGGAAATTGCTCGAAATGAGGAAGAGGAAAGAGTTAGAAGAGAAACCGCTAAACAGAACTTGGAGCTTTTCTCAAGTTCCAAAGATGAAGAATCACAAGAGCGTCCAGATGCTATTGGGTCTAATACAGCAAATGACGGGGAAGACGCTCTTGATGATGATGTTCCTGGGTCAAATACAGCAAATGAAGGGGAAGACGCCCTTGATGATGATGTGGGCGTAGCTGTTGAGTTTGAAGAGAATGAAGAGGATGATGAGAGAGAAGGAGAAGTAGCTGCTCTACCTCAGGGCGAGCTAGAGCAACCTAGGACCGTGAATAGGCACATATACTTTCCTAGCCTAACTCCAAGTGCAACCACATCTTCTGACTCTGGTGGTCGAGACACCGAGATCATTCAACAAGAGGTGCACACCTCGAAGCCATACCAGCTAAACCAACCAGAGGTCGCATCTGCCTTTGGCCAAGAAAGCCAAAGGGAAGCCACACTCCAGGGATCACCCTCTCAAAAGAGCGAAACCTTTGAAAAGATAAGTGGCATGTCTCCCCATGCCACGTCACTTTCCCATACAGAGGAATTAGTTTCCTCTACACTAGGAATTTTCCCACCTTGTTCAGAGCAAGGCATAGGTACACAAGACTTAGAGACTCTCGACCAATCTCCTAGTCCACTTGTGGAGGGTCCTTTGGCAGGCTCTGAACCTGCTGAGGGAACTCTTCACGACAGAATAGCAGTAGTGCCCTCTTCCCCAAGAGAGACACAAGGATTCGCTAGAAATCCTTCCTCGACCAACATTCAACAAGTCAAGACAGAAGGTGTCCTAGGAACAAGGACTCAATCTAGCCCATGTGTTGAGCCAGAGGTTACCACAAAAGAATACATCACAAAGGACGAGTTCCAGTCTTTTTCCACCTCTATGTTTTGCTCCTTGGACGAGCTAAAACACAACATGGCCCATGTAGAGCCATCTCCTTTTGCATTTGCTTTGGATGAGGTTCGATCATCCTTAGCAGTATTGAGGGCTGAGTCTTTGACAAATTCCTCTCATCTCGATCGCTTACAAGAATTGACGGCAAGCAATGCAGAGATCCTGCAAAGGGTCCTTGCCCACATTCAGAGGGATGGAGCTTCCACTTCATCTCAAGACACTCAAGCGCTCATTCCTCTGAATGTGCCGGTCGACTATGTCACCCAGACGACGATGAATGCTCTAGGTGACCGTCTCCTACAGAAGGTGGCCAACTTCACTTTCGACTTTAATAGCATAGCCAAGCATGCAGCAGTCGAGATGCGTCATTTGTTGGCAGCTGTTAAATACAATACGGATATGGAGATTCTCAAGGTCACAATGGCAACATCAGAGATTGTTGAGCTCTTAGATGCAAAGATCAAGGCCATGCCTCCGACGAACGTACAGAAACCAAAGAGGAAGATTGAGCCACCAACTGCATGTGCCGAGGCCTCAAAGAATAGGAGGCTTGACAACGATGAGGACCCAGACCAGTCTGGCTCTCAAAGTTGCCAAGAGGGGGAGAACCAACCAGCAGCCACTAAAAGTTCTATTCCAAAGGCTGCCCCCTCTACTTCTACTCCTCGACAACAAGCGCAAGCACCACCAAGTCAAATATCTAAGGCTGCGCAGGCACATGCAGAGGATAAAAGAAAGAGAAAGATGCCCGCTTCATCAGCAGCAGAACCAGAAGGGCGTAAGAAGGGTGAAGAGGACGTGATCCAACTCCTTTCTGTGTACACCTCTTCATCCTCTTCAGAGCCCTTATCATTATCTGCAGAGTATGTCATGGAGACTACTCCGCCTTCAAAGAGGGATGATGAAGAAGAAGTAGTGGTAGTCAATGTCGCCGATCCAGAACTTCTGAGATGCCAAGAACCAGAGGGGGCGTCTATTCCAACAGTTGTCCCACTTGAAGAAGTTATTGTTGTTGCACCACCACCACATCAGAACACGCATAGAGCCAAGGTCCCTGTTCAAGGGACCAGAGTCGTCACACCTGCTATGAGGCAGGGGGTCCCCGTCAGAGCTCGTAAGCCAGAGGCAGGCAATAACAGCAAGCCTCAAAGCTCCAAACGTCCCATTGATCGAGTATAAGAGATCAAGGATCATATGGATGCGATGATGAGGCCCACACCCTGCGATAAGCCAATCAAGGACACTGCAGACAGCAAAGAAGTCTACCAATTTCTCTACAACCTGCAGAGTGAGACACCTATCGTCAAGATCAATCTTCATCCAACGGCTCTAGAGCACATTAGGCAGAGGTTCTTACAACGCTACACTCAACTTGTCTCAGCAGTCCACTAAGTTGATGGCATCAAAAAGATCCTAGACATCAAGAGACAAACCTTTATGCATAACCAGATCATATTCCATGAATATATGGTTGAGAGGACCCATGGACAGATTAGCACCTTTACATATTGCGATCTTATTAATCTGAATCCATGGGACCTTATGTCTCTGTACTTCTATACTGACAACAAAAGGGATAAGGAGATGAAGCATGCTCTGGCCAACTCAGCGATCAGGCAGATGATGACAGACCTCCTAGACTTCAGATGCAAGTTCGACTTCCAATTGGCTCCGGATATGGGAATAGATCAGCTAAATGTCACTACACCTAATGAAGATCTAGAAGGCATCAAGAGCATTCCCTCGTGGACGGTGCTGGTGGAACCAGAGGTAGGGGTGGTCTTTCGAAACGAGTAAGGAAGAAAAAATTTCTTTCGTGAAGACCAACGCCTGAAATACTCAAACTCTACTCTACGCTACATCAAGATCCATCTACTCAAAAGCAGAGATAACACCCCTGGTGCAAAGGAAAGTTCGAATATAATAATCAGATTTATCAACAATTTGTTGGAGTTTCGTGAGCTTCTTAGGAGGTTCAATAAGCTTCAACACATCTAGGCCTTCTCCTTGTGAGCAACTTCTATCTTTTGTTTTTAGAATTCAAGTATTGTAATTTCTTTCCTTCGTATTGTAAACATTATATAGACAATGTAAAACATAGATTACTTTCAACCTCTGCTTCGATTAGACTTGTGCTTTTCATTTAAGTAAGAGTCTGTCTTAATTACACTTAGGGGGAGATTGTTAGACCCCATCTTGTGAAAGTGTAAGTAAGAAGCCTCTTACTCTAGTCGATATGACTTAGTCTTTAGAAGCTGTCTAGATTAAGAGCTCTCATGCAAAAGAGATCAAGAGACAGAGCTCTTACTCAAAGAGCCAAGCGTCTCATATACAGAGCCTGCACTCTACTCCATGGAAGATCAAGCCTTAAGCACCAAAAAAAGCTTAAGCGCTAGATACAGAGCTACATTCCAGACACAGAGCCTCTTCATAGTACATGCAGAGCCTTTGGGTCTCATAACTCCATGGAAAGCGCGCTTGTCCAGACTTTCTCGCAAGCGTCAAACAGAATCAAGGTGGCTTGACTTAGTCTACTCCACTATTCAAGGGTCGTCAACGATAAGGATGCAGAATAAGCGCTCAAAGATTCAAGCCAAGATTCTAGCAAATTCTGTTTGACTTAGGCGTATATAAGGAGGCTCCCTCCTCAAGTTACAGTTACCTGAGAGTGCCGACTTAGATGATAGCCAATTCCTGTGAGAATACTATTTAGATTGAGAGAGTTATTATTTCCTTCTCATCTAATAAAAGCATCCGACGTATTCAAAGTTATTTTGTGTTCTTATATTTATTGAATATTTCGTTTGACCATTTCAGTTAACACTGTTTTCATTCCATTCATATTCTTCCAAACTGTGTTTTTCTGATATTAAGAGAATCTGGGTTCCAACACATTCCAAGGTTTAATGAATGAAATTTTTTGGTCGTTATTTACGAAAGTTTGTTTTGGTATTTTTTTACGACATATTGGTATACAGTAACTCTTGGGAGGAACATTTACTACATTTGAAGATTGTTCTTAACATTTTGTCCCTACAACAGCTTTACGCTAATAATAAGAAGTGTGAATTCGGCCGTGATAAACTTGGTTATTTGGGGCATGTTATATCAGGTGAAGGTGTAGAGGTAGACGAGTCGAAGATAAATGCTATCAGATCCAACAGACGAGAAAGAAAATTTTGCACTGCTGCTAAGTTGTCGGACTTATCCACAAAGGGATTCATGGAATTTATGTAGATTGCGTTGGGGGAAATCTACCAAAGCTAGGAAAATAGATAGACTCATTTCCCGCTGCTAAGGGAGAGCAAGAAAGAGAAAAATTCTTGTTTTTTGTAGAATGAAAAGTTCTGACTACAATTACTGAGCTATGAGGACTTTTGGGACTGTCCAGTTATTACTGGAAGTTCATTAAAGGGTATGGAATGGTGGTTGCTCCCCTCACAGATTTACTCAAGAACAATCAATTTCTCTCGATAGAAGCAGCCCAATCAGCCTTTGAGGAATTGAAGAAGTTGTTATCAACAGCACCTGTTTTTGAAACTTCCTGATTTTTTAGCGGAATTTTTCATCGAGATGAACGCTTCAGGGTATGGGTTGGGAGCTGTTTTGATGCAAAACGAGCAGCTCATGGCCTATTTCAGTCAATCATTGGAGTTGAGAGAAAAACAAAGAACTGGTGGCTGTAGTTTTTGTTGTACGTAAATGGATGTCATTTATGTTGGGAGGGCATTTTATGGTCCCTAGTGATCAGCGTAGTCTTCAATTCCTATTGGAACAAAGGGTGGTTGAACCAGAATAACAAAGATGGATGCGAAAGGTGTTGAGATACAACTTTTCGATTGTTTACAAACCAAGATGTGTTAATCGGGCGACAGATGCTCTATCTTGGAAGAAAGATGAATTGGAATGTTCAAGTTTGGGGAACCATAGTGGAGACAATTGGATGATTTGAAACGTGAAATTGAGGAAGATGAATTTCTTATGAAGTTAAAGGCTAATTTGTTGCAAGACAATACGACCCATAAAGGAATTTGAATTACAACAGGGTTTATTGTTATAAGGCCAGGTTGGTAATACCTCGGACATCCAGGTTCATTCCTTTACTGTTTGAGGATTTTCATGGATCTCTGACTGGAGGTCATACTGGGGTGGATCGTTCCTATAAGCGCATAGCTACTGAGATATTTTGGGTGGGCATAAGAAAAGATATAAATGACTTGGTAAGAAGTTGTGAAGTTTGTCAACGGAATAAGACTTTAAGTGGCACTCCAGCGGGTTTGTTACAACCTCTATCACTGCCTTTTACAGTTTGGGAGGAAATATCGATGGATTTTATTGAAGGCTTACCAAGGTCAGATGGTAGGAGCGCCATTATGGTGGTTGTAGATCGTTTTAGTAAGTATGCCGACTTTATTGGATTAAAACACCCATATAATGCTCAATCGGTTGCTGAAGTTTTTGCAAAGGAAATAATACGGCTATATGGAATGCCTCCATTCATAGTTTTCGATAGAGATAAGATTTTCCAAAGTGCGTTTTGGAGAGAGATATTCAAGCTACAAGGTTCTAAACTCAGGTTTTGTACTGCGTATCACCCGCAAACGGAAGTTGTGAACAAATGCTTAGAATAGTATCTGAGATGTTGGGTTTCGGACAGACCGAGGTAGTGGAGTAAATGGTTGTATTGGGTTGAGTTGTCGTATAATACTTCATTTCATTCCACACTTAAGTGTTCTCCTTTTCGTGTCCTTTATGGGAGAGATCCTTCACCGTTAATTCGTTATAAATCGGCTTCCTCAAATTTGCAGTTCGTAGAACAGGAATTAATGGGCAGAGATGAAATTTGGGATGAGGTCAGAATGCATCTGTTGCAATGTAAGATGAAGCAATAGGCAGACTTAAAAAGAACAGATGTTGTCTTTGCACTTGGAGATTGGGTGTTCATAAAATTACGTCCTTATCGGCTGAAATCTTTAGTTAAGAGTAATGAAGCAAAGTTGTTAGCCAGATTTTATGGTCCCTATAAGATCTTGGAGAAGATTGGAAAAGTAGCTTACAAACTGGAGCTATCGGTGGGAGTGAAGATACATCATGTTTAATTATGCTTCTACAACAGAAATTCCTACTCGGATTACGAAAGATTTGGTTCTTCAAGCAGAGTTGGAGGATCTGTTAGATATTCGCCCAATTACTCAAGGCGAACCAGGACAGTTGGATGTTTTGGTGAAATGGAAAGGAATGTTTGAATTTGATTCTTGGGAGAATTTACAAGCTTTGTTACAACAATTTCCTAATAATCACCTTGAGGACAAGGTGAAATCTTTGGGGGGAGTATTGGTGTACCTCCGGTTCGATTCACGTATAGGAGGAGGGAAAATTAGTGTAATTCCTTATTTTCTGTATTGAATAAGTCCTTAGGGGTATTTTCTGGTTTTCCTTTTGTCTAGTGAGTGGGAGCCTGTTTTGTGGGCGGGAAACTTCTGTTTGGGGTCATTCTGTTTTTTCTTCAATTCAGTTGTAAACGAGCTTTGCTCTAGAGAGACCATGGCCTCTCGAATGCCATTGGAGTGAATTCTTTTACATATCAATTCAATTGCAAGCTTTTGACATTATTTTATAGCAGTTAGAAAGGTTAAAGGGATGTCTAAATATTTGGTTTATGGTAGTTATATCGATTTGTTGATAACATATTGTTTGTATAGGTTTGCAAGAAGATTGTGCAAGTTGGTTGAAAACTATATTTAACTTAATCTAGCAAAGTGAGTTCAAATAACCTTAAATCTAGGTACACATCAAATACATAACCGATTCATTTCGCTTATGTTTGAATGTGTAGTTGAAAATGCATGATTCAAATGAGTATTGTGAAATGTGGTTATTTACTTATTTTTACATACAAAGTAAATTTTAGGTGAAAACTAACATGTTAAATTATTATCATAAACTATGTGGAGTATGTTTGATGTTTTGAAACTTGTTGTTTACAAAGCATGCTATTGATTGAAATTTTGGTGAAATAAACTTTCTATAAATGAGGTATTATGAGCTATTTGTTTGCTCACCGACGTGGTGTATTTAGATCTAGATCTGGCGACTTAGGGTCACCCCTTTGTTGCATTTGTATTGGGGTTGCTCCCTTTACAATTAGATGGGTTGCTCCCATTTGGTGTTTATGGAAT